GCAAAGACATCACTGTTTTCTTACCCAAAGTTCACTGAGTGAGCCATGGCAGAGCTGAGATCTGTAGAAATTGGTTTCTAAATGCAAATTTCTCTACTAAGTTACTTGTAAATGTTTCTGTTTATTCATTTTTATTTGTTATTCATTTTGCTGCCTTCTTGAATTTTCTTTGAAAGAGGTTTAGGACTGTTACAGGCTATTATTATCTATTATGATGATAAAAGTCATAGTGCACAAACATAATTGTAGGCAAAGATGGGAGAGTGGAAGGAAAGCAGATTAGATTCAGAGCCATAAAACACCCTGGCTTTGAGCCTTGGCCTTACTATGTAATCAAAGCAAGTCACTTATTTCCTTCTCTAACTTCAGGTCTCTGTCAGCTAAAGGAACTAGGTCACATTAAAATATCTATCATCTAGTCTCAGTCTAAAATATCATGATTCATTAGTTGGTACCATCAGTTCAATTATTTACACACTTATTCATGCTCTAAGCTAAATTAAATACAAACATCATCATTGTCATCATTATCATCATGGCTTTCTGTCTTACTAAACTTATATAAAGTCTTCTGACTTACCAAAAAAGAATTTACTTTCAGTCTCTGAGTTTCTATGGCTTCAAGATATGAGGACACATCTTTATAGAATGTTGGAGAAAGAAGAACCTATTCCAAAAGAACCAATTCCTAGGAAACACAAGAGGTCATAACCAGGTATAAATAAGGAATAAGGAACAAGCACCTTTTGACCATGTCTTTCAGTTGCTTCACTTTGTTTCTTAAAAAGCAACCCCCAAAAGAATTTTTTTAGATTATAAATTAATTAGTGTAAAAAATTCAGAAATTCTTGAGAAGTATTAAATAAGGAAAAAAGTATAATTTCTTCCATTCAAAAGCCTGTTTCCATCACCCTAATGTTTTAGTTAATTTTCCAAAACATTCTCAGTAGAGTCATTTTAAATACTGTATATAATTTTATCTTTTTGGTAGATATTTACTCACTTATTTAAATTGTTGACAGTTTTTATTATTACAGAGAACAATGTGATAATAGCTTTGTTTCTATAAAAATTATACATTGGACACAGTTTTGAATTGTGATATTTAAGGTTTAGTAAGACAATTTAAACGAAGAGTATACTTTTGACCTTTAGTTTATTTGTTTCTGTGAATATTGCTTTGTATTTTCCCAAACTTTATTTTGTTTCTAAACATTTATTAAGAACAATTTGTCTGAATACTTCGATAATGGTATATTTGAACTGGAAATAGCACCAATAATTTTACATTACACTAAGTAGATATAGAATAAAATGCCTGGTCAGTAATTTCTTTTCACTTTCTTTGGACTGTAGTAATGAAGTTCATTAGTTTAGAAATAACTAGTAAAAGGTCAATAAATTAAAAGAGTCAGTAATTCAGGATAAACAAAAACATTTGAGAAGAATCTTGAGAAAAAAATTACCAATTATGATAATAGCTTTTCATCTGAGAAATGACAACTAAGCACAGTTGGGAAATTCTGACTGCTGGATGAGAACTGTGAAATGAGGGATGTTGTTGCTTTCATTCACCTACATGGGAAACTGTGACTTTAATGGTTGTTTGATTAAATGTTAATGAGATCTGTCAAATTGACCTAACTCTTACTTTTATGTATTAGATTTATGTCAATTAAAACAAGACCAGTCTCATCTTTTTCTTTAACAAATATCCTTGAGTCAAATCCACTACAAGTGAAGTGCTGTAGCTACAGTAGTTATTTAAATATTAATGACTCCCATTAAAGAAGGTTGGAGTTCGAAGCTCAGCTTGAAGGCTGAGAAATTAGAGGGCATGCTTAGGTTATTATCTCTGTCCCCGGGGGGGAAATTTCTTATTGAAAGAACTTCAAGCATTTAAAAAATACTACTAAAGATTTTGTTTTCTTGAACCACTCAGATTGTTGATGTCAAATATCCCTTGAAAGTAGCTCTATTATTAAAATATCAGTGGTACAAATTCACATCTATCTTCAAAATGTTTCTCCTGTGCCAAAGTGGCCATTACACTTGGGCTTCTTAAGAACCTAATTTCAGTTTCAAAATCCATTTTGTTTCTTATTATTGCCGATAATAAGCAAAAATACCTTTAAGCTGCATGTTATATTTAGACTTATTTACTTTAAATAAGAGGAACTCTATTGTTAGCCATGAAGACTTGACTAGGATTATATATTTAATCCAGCTATAATTATAACTTTTTAACTTATTTAGGGAGTGTAAAAAGCTTCTCAAATTTGCTGAAACCAGTATTTTCATAGGGCGCCAAATTGTGATGTGAAATGCATGTACTTAGACTTGTACATGTCTTGTGTTTCTTATAAGCTCTTTTAATGGCTTGGTATTTTAAAGTGCTGAACAAAAATAGGAATTATATATTTGCATAATTGTTTAATTTTTTTGTAAGTAGAAATCTGAGAGAATGGATTTTGTGTCATTTCCTGTATTTTCCTTCAGCTTTAAGAGCTGAAAATTTGACTCCTGTGTAAATAGCAGCATGCAGGGTAATAGCGCAGCTGTGAGTTAGGCATTCTGTTACTTAGCTGAATTAAAGTGAAGTCTTGGATTTGAAACTGAAACGTGTGCCCACAACTGACGAATAAAATAATACTTTAATGAAATTTTTAAAAATGAACGCCGTGGCCACTGGTAACAGACCCTGAGAATGGACCTACAGAATTGGATTTACCAAGTATGTGGGGTAGGAGGAGGTGGGGAAGAGGACTTGGAGAAACTGGTGGAGGGACAATGACACTCTGGTAGTGGGTGGGGCATTGGGACATTATATGTTGAAACTTTACAAGCAACATTGTAAATCACAGTGCCTAAATCTAATTTGCGAAAAAATATATTTAAAATTTATGAAAAACAAAACAGCAAACTATGAGAACAAAGACCAGGCCCCAACCTGCATCTGCATCTGCATCTAATCTATCTTTGCCCTAGTCCTACCTTCACTGGGTTCATAGATGAGACACATCTATAGTCTCTCTCTCTCTCTCTCTCTCTCTCTCTCTCTCTCTCTAAATCTATAATTAGTTATACACTGGAGCTGGGGAGATGGTTACAAGGGCTAGGCTGCATGCTCTGCTTTGGTTTTGGGCCCATATCTGACTGTGCTGATGGCCTATTCATGGCTCCTGGCAGTGCTCGGGGACCATATGGGGTGTTGGGGATCAAACCCAGGTCACCCGTGTGCAAGGCAAGAGCCCTACTCACTGTACTACCTACCCAGCCCCTGGAGTGCATGCGCCGAATGTCCAATGCTCAGCACAGCTGAGTGTAGCTCCGGTGATCCCACATACCCTCAGGTGAGAAGCACACAGCTCAGCTCTGCTTCTCCCAGCAATCACATCTGGCCTGTGTAGTTGGGGCTGAGTATCTCTGCCTTGCCCCACTCTGAGTTCTGCTTGGTAACCTCCTTAGACTTTCTAGTTGAATTATGTTAAAATCAGCTAAAAATATTCAGAAAGCCCATAATAAATACAAGTTAGATGTTTATTTTCAAGTTGAGTTAAATACCATACACGTTTAAGCCATTATTTGTATAATCCAAAATGAATAGTCTTAGAAATTTATTAATAGGAATAATGTACATATAGAAACAATTGAAATGTTTATTTTCAAGTTTAGTTAAATTATTGGTTTAAGCCATTATTGGCATAATGAATACTTTTAGACATTCATGGCTAAAAATAATGTATATTTTAATAAATTATTAGAAATAGGTTAAATGCTTATTTTCAAGTTTAGTTAAATACCATGCACTTTAATGCCATTATTGGTATAATCCGAAAGGTGTAAAGGTAAAGGTAAAAAAAAGGTAAAGGCCCTCCCGTTGATCGTCGATTTGCTCGAGCGGGCCCAGTAACATCTCCATTGGAGACTTTGCTGTTACTGTGTCTGGCATATCGAATACTCTCGGTAGCTTGCCGGGCTCTCCGAGAGGGGCGGAGGAATCGAACTCGGGTCGGCCATGTTGGCTGCTTGTAAGGTGAACGCCCTACCCGCTGTGCTATTGCTCCAGCCCAATCCGAAAGGTGTAATCTTAGAAATTTAAATCTTAGAAAACAGATTCGAAGATCCATGAAGATTTCTGTGCTCATAAAATCTGATGCCTAGTTCTTGAATATATTTATCAGTTAGCAGTAGGGGTAGGGACTTGAAAAGGGTTGCAAGATCCTCTCTCTCTTCCTTCTTTGTGCGCCTGTACACTGGTCATTTAAAAAAAATTTTATTGAGGTAACGTTGATTTATAGCATGATATATTTTAACTGTACAGGAATATACTTTTTTAAACCTCTATATACACTACACCATGATGGCCACCTAAAGTCATTTCCATTTTTCTCCATACATGTTTCTCTGTTGTTCCTGAATTAAAGTTTGATGATGTGTAAGAGACAGACGTAGTAAACAGAAACGCATTATTTGTAACCTTCCCTTAAACGTGCCTGTGGACAACCTGAAGTTTCACCTTGCTCATATAACTCCCTAGCCAGGGCTTTTCCTCATTTCTCCTACTCAACCAAGCTCCGCTCACCTCTCTTTCACTTCTGGCATCGGTAAGGCTTTCCTAGGTTCCCTTGGCTTGAGATCTGGTCTCAGTTTTTGCCCTTTCTCCTCCAGAAACCTAACTCCCTCTACTCTCATGCTGTGACCAATTCCAGAGCTTTGTCTTGTGATATTACCTAATGCAGCATTTATTTCTTTTTACAGCGCAGTTTTTGAAGTAGAAGTTGTTTTTCTGATTATATCCAAACGTGTCGAATGCCCATCTTCTTGGGAAGTAAAATTGCATCTCTTTGGTGGCATCAAAGGTGCTTATCAAAGGACCTTTACAAAGTCTTTTATTTTTGGGTGAATGAATGATTTTTTTTTGCATGCGCATAGGTGAGGTTTAGAGTTGGAATGCATTTTGGAATCATTATATTCTTGTTTTCCCTCTCAGTATAAAGAAAATGACTGGTGCCACGTGGAAAGCGATTGTTGCACTGATCCTGCTAATGCTCAGCTCTGGTGGGGATGGACTGTTCCGCACCCTATACAAAAACGTCAAGGTTCCAATGACAAAAGGAGGAGACGCGGGACACCCATTATTCCTTACTCCATATATTACAGAAAAGAAACTCAAAGAAGGTAAATTTTATGAAATTGTTCATCCATTGTTTCTTCTGTGGTGGCGCTCACGGGAGGTAACACGTCAGGGTGCGGTGTTTGCACATACATGGCTGTACTGCAGCCGGAAATCACCTGAGGCATTGGGTTAACAGATGGCAGAGGTGCCAGGACCAGGCTGCGAATCTGTAGCAGCTCTGGGGGTGGAATCCACAGCCGCACACTTGCAGGGCAGGCACTGTAGCCACAGAGCCGCCGTTTAGCATCCCCTACAGTACTTTTTTTTCCACCTTACTCTTTTTTTTTTTTTATTAATTGAATCTCTATGAGACATGCAGTTACAAACTGTTCATGATCAGTTTCAGTCATGTAATGTTCCAACACCCATCCCTCCACAGGATCTGAAATACATTCCAGTATTTTGCTAAATTGTTTTATTTCCAGTATTAATGATTGGTGGTACATGTTTTTAGAGTCAGGGGCTACTGTGAAAATTCGTCAGGGGCTAAAGAGAATTCGTGCAATTCTGTTTACAAAACTAGAATTTGCTTACCTACATCTAGGCATTTGTAAACTTAATACTAATCCAAGAACTTACTGAATGCAAGTTATTGCTTTCAAATATTCCACATAAGCTCACACAAGCATCTGAACAACCTGTTTTGCACACAAGAAAATGGAACCCCAAAGAAATCATGTTATTTACCAGGATCATGCAGACACCACCTGGTTAATCAGGATTCATACTCAGGGAACCTTGCTCCAGGGTATACGCTCACAGGTACTGTTCTGGGACCCCCTCGCTGCAAAGCACCCAAGCACCTGAGGCTTCAGTGTCCTCATTAATATGAAACAGTTTTAGAAACATACCCAAGTTGCTTGTATGTTATGAGACTCAGATAAGAAAATGCACACAAAAACTCTTTAGGCCTATACATTGTTCTCCAAATATTAGTGTTTCCAAATGACTAGTATTTATTGATAGCGGGGTTTTATTATATTATTATTATTATTATTATTTAAAAACTGTTTTATTTGATGTCATCAGAAATGAAAATTTATGACCCGTGTCTGCTTTTAATGCTTACTCATGCTTAAGTGAATCATCACATAGGTAAATTACTCAATCTTTTTGGTTTCCAGTGGCTCCTAAACTATAAAAAATCATATGTACAGCTATTTTGAGGAACTGTTTATAAAAGGAAGCAAAGAAATGGAGACTGGTGGGAGCTCTGTGGTCAGCAAGGAGATAGCAGATAAGGTGATTAGGTTTTTGTTTGTTTGGGTGAATTCGTTGTGGTCAATCCTGATGGTGCCTTGGGGACCATGTGATGCAGAAAATTGATCTGGGCCTCTTGCATGCAAAGGGTGTGCTTCAACACTTTGAGCCAACTTCCATCCCAGATCTTTTTTTTTTCTTTTTGTGTCACACCTGGCAATGTACAGGGGTTACTCCTGGCTCGTGCACTCAGGAATTACTCCTGGCAGTTCTCGGGGGACCATATGGGATGCTGGGAATTGAACCCAGGTTGGTCACGTGCAAGGCAAATGCCCTACCCACTGTACTATTGCTCCAGTCCCCAGATCATTTTTATTGATGGAAATAATCCAAAAGAGGTGGAAAGTTTATTGAGGAAGTGGCAAATAAATATGTAAAAAGCATGCTGTCTTGCACAGATATGGAGACATTAGTATTTGCTCAAAGATACTGAAATATACTCATGTTCCCAGCAGAGTTATGTCACGAGGTCGGAAGATTGGTAGATGTTCTGAGATGGCATGAATGATATGGAAATTTTAAGGGAAATGATCATTTTAATGATAAAAAAAAACAGTCATTATATATACTCCATTTGGAAGTTTGAGTCAAGAAACTTTTCTTCATTTGAAATATTCTAGTAGTCAATAGGATGGCATCATGTTTTTCTCTGGCTGGTTTAGAACCAGGAAACATTCTTGTGTCTTAAGTATTCATTGGAGTCTATTCCTGAAGTAGATGTTGGTTCCATGTTTCATTTTGTATCTCTTCTAAGGAAAGTTGAAAAACTCTATTAGTGTAGTCAGTAGTATCTCATTCTTTTTTATGACTCTTTTATATTTGATGTAAAACTAAGGCAAATATGTATGTCAGTAATATAGGTTTATTTCAATGTATATATATAATACACATATATATTTGAGACAAATATCATTAATTCAGAATCACCAAATTGGATCCCATGAATTTATTTTACCTTATATACTAATGATATCAGGGACTTGGATTATATTCATTAGCAGTAAATCAAAGAAACTCATTTAAATTGGATCTGAAAGGAAAGTAAATATTTCATAAGAAAACCATAGGAATTCATAGGGGGAAATTTTCAGACTCAGGCTCTTTATAGGATTTATCTCAGAGAACACAAGTAATGGAAGCAGAGCTGGGTTTAGAAACCACCTAGTGATTTTTTAGAAGACAAATATTGGTAAGTTTTAGAAGAAAAAATATCTCCATTGGTAGACATAGTCCAGGAGATAAAGATTAGTGCTGGCCAAAGAGATAGCACAGCAGGTAGGGAGCTTGTCTTGCGTGTGTCCAACCAAGGCTCAATCCCCGGCATCCCATATGGTCCCCGGAACCCTCCCAGAGTGATTCCTGCATGCAGACCAGGAGTAACTCCTGAGCACCACTGGGTGTGGCCAAAATAAGGGGGGGAGGGGGAAAGTAGGACTAATAAGAGTAATCCTAAATATAACAAATGGCTAACATTTAGTAATTATATTCCATGTACCTATCTATAATAGACGATAAGTATTTGTAGAATTTATATTGGAAACCTAACTATGCCAGGCCATATGCTTTATACACATGTTAGCTCATTTCATTTTCAGCCCTAATAAAGCAGGCATAATGATTGCTCCCATTTAATAGAAGGAAAAGGTGAGATTGTCAAAATGTAAAATTCTGCACAGACCCCTTTAAAGCTAGTAAGTGACATTGCTGGGTTGAAAACCTGTTTACAATGACTCTGAAATCCAAGGCATGAGTGAATCATTATGCTCTGACCAGCTTCAGGCTTGAAAGTGTTGGGGAAGATTTGGGCATATTTTACTGCCTGCTTGAGCAAATCGATGAATAACGTGAGGGCAGTACTACTACTACTACTATAATGAGTAAGCGTTTGCCTTGCACTTGGCTGACCCAAGTTCGATTCCTCCGCAATTGGGAGAGCCCAGCAAGCTACCGAGAGTATCTTGCCGGCACGGCAAAGCCTGGCAAGCTACCCATGACGTATTCGATATGCCAAAAACAGTAACAACAAGTCTCACAATGGAGACGTTACTGGTGCCCGCTTGAACAAATCAATGAACAACGGGAGGACAATGCTACAGTGTTATAATGAGTAAGGAAATAACAAATCAAAGACATCAAATTAAAGTGATCATGATGTGTCAGCATCCCAAGACTGGTGGAAGCAAGTAAATAGAATACAGAGAAGAATCCATCAGAGAGATTGTACACATTCTAGAACTTCTTACACACTAGCCTTTCCTTGTAGTGGTTATCAGATTAGCGAGGACAGATTCGAGGGAGATAGTTTTATCTTAGTCCCTTTGTGCCAAGTCTGTTCAGTGCATCAGCTGATGGGTGACAACATTTTAAACATTAAATCTGATTCAGTGTCACTTTACCAAGTTCTGTTACATAGCACTATCTTTGAACAGAATTTTAAGTGGCTTATCCAAAATCTGATCCATCTGGGTATTCAAATGCAGCCCTGACAACATAATTAAGGACAATTTTATTCATCTGCTTTACTGAAAGTTCAGGAAACTCTGGACAGATGGTCATCTTGCTGCCCTATATCCCTTTTGCTTATTGAGATCAGACAAACCCTAGGAATGTGAGTCTTAATATTGCACTGGAACATTTCTGAGATAAACAGTCACTTGTGAAAAGACAAGAGAAATTTTAATTTTTTAAATCTCCAATTAGCTAGCTTAATTTCACGTAATTGTAATTACATGTTTACTTTCTCTGGAGCTAGAATAAACCCTACTTTTCGAAACAAAAAGATGAATATTAGAGGCACATTTTGGCATGTTTACAAGCCTGTCATTTCCACAAATTTTAAATATTTTGCTCTTTAGTCCTAGTTTATTTTGACTGGTCGTATCTTGTCCACAATGACAGTGGCCTGGATTTTTGCATATTTGAAATGCACCCTGATTAGTTGCCTCAAGCTATTCTTTGGTCATAATCCAATCTTTTTGAAAGTGTTAATGTTACAAATATTAGTTACCACAGTAAATAATAAGAAGGAAGTGAAATCTCTTCAAAGAAAACCCTTTCCTTGTTTTAATTGTTTCAAACATTTGCATGATGAGTCATGACTCTAGGAGGAAAGCAACTCCTTCATCTTGGGAGTTTATTTTCCACACTCTATTAATAAATTCTAGAAGCCGGAACTGAAGTTCAGAAAATGTAACAAAGCATTATAAGTGAAACAACTCACTATTATTTGATGGTGATTTCGTTAAAGGAATTAAAAATGTTGAAACAGGATGAAACCTTTGTGGATCAGTAAAACATCCTACATTTCTTTTTTTTTTTTTCTTTTTGGGTCACACCCGGCTATACTCAGGGGTTACTTCTGGGTTTGCACTCAGGAATTGCTCCTGGTGGTGCTCAAGGGACCATATGGGAGGCTGGGAATCGAACCCAGGTTGGCCGCATGCAAGGCAAAAGGCCTACCCGCTGTGCTATCACTCCAGCCCCAGTCCTACATTTCTTAAACTCTTATGAAGGCATGCCTTCCTTGGAGATTTCTGAACAAATATTCTAAGCTAATACATTACCAGTATGTCCTGTAGTTCATTCACCCATCATTCCTTTGCATTCATTCATCTACTCACGAACCTTTAGTTCTTAACAAGAATTTATTGACTATTTCAAGTGAGTGGGTCAGCATGCTATGTTCTTAGGGGCAAGAATAAATAGGCAGGCTGGAGCAATAGTACAGCAGGTGGTGCTCTTGCCTTGCATGCGGCAGACCTGGGTGGACCCCTGGAACTGCATCAGGAGTGATCCCTCAGTGCAGAACCAGGAATAAGTCCTAAGCACCATTGAGGATGGCCCCCAAACAAACAAACAAAAAAAAAAGTAAGAAAATCTCATCTCCAGTAGTCACTGATATAGAAAGGAGCATAGGAGATACAAGTGGGAAGCTCAGGAAAGGCTTGTAGGGTGTGTCTATTTGTCCTCTCCCTTATCCATTCCCTCTGTCTCCTCAGATGTTCTTTCTCATTCCACTTTGACCTTCATCATTGTTCTCCGTCTTCCTTCTCCAACCCTGTCCTGTTGGTACATTGCTTTATGATTCACATCTCACTCAACCTCTCACTTTTCACATCTTTACCTCCCTGAAACAGGGGGATAAGGGCGGGTATGTTTGATTTTACAAAGTTTAATCACTGTCATTGTCACTGTCCTCTCGTTGTTCATTGATTTGCTTGAGTGGGTCCAGTAACATCTCCATTGGAGACTTTGTTGTTACTGTGTTTTGGCATATCGAATACATCACGGGTAGCTTGCCAGGCTCTGCCGTGCGGGTGAGATACTCTTGGTAGCTTGCCGGGCTCTCCGAGAGGGGTGGAGGAATCGAACTCGGGTCAGCCATGTTGGCTGCATGCAAGGCAAACGCCCTACCGCTGTGCTATCGCTCCAGCCCTACAAAGTTTAATAGATTTGAAAAATACATTTTCACAGAAAGTCTGCCTACTCCAGGAGAATACACTTTTTCTGAGCTAATAATTTGAGTAGAAGCAGGGCAAGGAGGGAAGGAGTAATGCCTCCCCCCCCCCACCCGATGGAAAGGGCAGTAGTACAGGAGGATCAGCCCTCCCCATCCTCCCCTAAACATCTTCTTACTTAAAATACTCCTCTCCATATAAGGTTGCGATCCACCTTTCAGTAGATGAGGGACTTATTTCCGTCAGGAGAGCTGATCATCCCACAAGGTCCCTGGAGCCCTAAGGCAGTTGTATACAGGGAAAATTTCACCAACCAGCTCCAGACACGGACCCTGAGCCATACCCTACATCCTGGGAGGAAAATGTCCTCACTGTGGCATGGCACTCACTGAATGCTTGAGTAGGAAAGAACTGGCAATGTCAGACCTTCAAGCCAAGTGTTTGTTTGGGACTCAGCACCAACCGGCCAAGGCATCTTTAATTGCTGGCCTGAGTGAAGGATCAAGATTACTTGCTTACTTGTGCCTGCACATTGGTTTCCAGTTGAATAAGTTTCAGACATAAAGAGCTTTCCTTTCATTTATTAAAAACTTAACACTGCAGGTAGGGCATTTACCTTATACATAACTGACCTGAGTTTGATTACTGGTTCCCTTGTGCTCTCCCACCCTCTCCCCTAAAGCCCCACCAAGACTGTTTCCTGAGCACAGAACCAGAAGTAAGCTCTGAGCACTCCAGGGTGTGGCCCACAAGAAAGGAGAACAAAAGTTATCAGAAATGAGAGTAATTTGAGAGAAATTTTAGGTTCCGAAGAAAATTGAGTAGAATATACTGACTGCCTATCTGCTTCCCACCCCACATATGAATCCCATCCGTGAACGTCTCTCCCACCCATAGCGGCATACTCGTTACTCATGAGCAACCTGCATTGACATGCCATTAGCACACAAAGTCTTTTACATTGGGGTTCACGCTGGGCGTTATACATTCTGTTGGTTTGGACAGATCTCTGGAGACTCATCGCCACCATGAAAGTATTACAGAGGCACATGGCGAGAGCTCAGATGTTAGGGGTGCGTTAGGGGTGTGTGCTCAGCATGTGTAAGACCCCGGGACTGACCCTGCGACTGCATATTCCCGGAGCTTTGGCTATACTGCTGGGCACACACTAGGCCAAGCAGCTCCTGCCGGGGCCAGTGGTTTCCTGAGTGTTGCTTGACGCCCCCCCCCCACCCATGAAGGATCATGCGGAACAACTGGAAGGACTCGATTGCCTTTGGGGACACTATCACTCATTTCCATGTACATTCCCCCTACTGCCCTCTGACCCTCTATTTGTCTTTTTTCTTCTGTGAACCCACCCACACTTACACTTCCCTCTTGCCACCTCCGGGGACTGCAGCTCTGGGGACTCTGCATATGGCGGGGCAGGTTGGGGTAGGCACCAACTCTGCTGCTTAGCTGCCAGGTTTAAGTCCCAATCATCCTCACTAGCCGTGGGACTGTGGGGCACCCTGAACCTCTCCGCCGTTCATTTTTCTTACCTATAAAGTGAAGTAACAGTGATTCCTGACCATAATGGTGTGAAGACCACTGGAGTGTGAGCTCCTATGAGTGCTATTTCCTCCTGGGAGGCTTGGGTTGCTGAAGACCTTGCCCCTTCCCTAGTCTGGCCCCTTCCCTGGTCTTGCCATAAGAAAGCTGTGTCCTCTATCATGGACAACTGTCCTTTTGCTCTGTTTGGCCCTGACCAGCAACCTAGGAAGTCATCTAACACTAACACTCTTTTTCCCATCCTCCCTCGCTGCCCCTTCTCCTCATGTGTCCTAGTCAATGTCCCTTCATGGAAGGGACATCATGGAAATCCTTCTGCTTTCAAGACAATGGGAAAGGAAAATAGGGTAGTCTCAGGACTCTGCAGGTCTTTGGACTACTTGACTACATTGTTTCTCTTGCTTCTCACTCTTTTGGGGGTCTGAAGATTTTATCAAGGCTTAGATTTCCAATGCACCCCAGTCAATGCCTTGGTTTACTGTGGAGTGGAGTTGAGGGCAAGCGAGTGTTGTTCATCTTTCAAAAAACAAACCACAGAGCTGATAAAATATATGTGAGATGATTGGGCAGCAGATATGACTCAAGTGGTAAAGGGCTTACCTGGCACGTGTCGGGCCCTCAATTTTGAGCTCCAGCACCACATGGCATGGCCCCTGAACACCCCAGTTGTAGTCCTAGTGGTCCCTGAACAGCACCCCTTGGAGTCTTATGTCTCCACCACTACTGGGTGTGACACAGGTGAACTCCATTACTGTCAGACTGGATGTCAAGTGACCTCCAAGGTTCCTGAGCAGGCTGGATGCCTGCTAAATCCAGTTCTACCAGGAGTGGTCCCAGGTTCCTTAACACTCCCAGCTATGATCCCAACAACACCACAAGTGCTTCCAAAGGCTTTTGTCTTCCTCAGTTGTGAGCATTCATTGTGTGGAATTTGCCACCGCCAACTGAAGCTACTTTGATAAGTGTCTTGTGGCCAGTCGAGTCATCCCAGATCTGGCCCCTGGGAGTCATCTAGCGGAGACGGATGATTTACATCATACGCTTTCTCTAACCCCTGGTTAATGATTTTTACCCCACCAGGGAGACGGCGGAGTTTGGTTGCTCCTTTCCCAGGATGTAATGAGAAGAGTTATGCAGGTTACCTCACTGTGAACCAGACCTACAACAGCAACCTTTTCTTCTGGTTCTTTCCTGCTGAGGTAAGCCTAGCACTGCCATGCCCAGGAGAGAAATATTGGCCTAAAATCACACCTCAAGATGAGCTTTGAGGGAATTTTATTTAAAAATGTGATGCCAGAAATTGAACCCAGGGGCCTCACACATGTGAGCCCTGTGCTGACAGCTGATCCAGTCCCCAACCCCAAGATTTGTTTTTCCCTAAAACTGTCTGTGACTGTGTGGAGTTCTTGTTTATGTACAGAAAACAAATGTTTGCTGGGGAGGCCCAACTTTTAAAATTCCTTGCAGTCTTGGCGCTGGAGAAATAGTGCAATGGGGAAGGATCTTGCCTTGCTTGAGGCCAACCCAGTTCAATCCCCAGCATCTCATATAGTTCCCTGAACACACCAGGAGTGATTTCTGAGTTTAGAGACAAGAGCATTGCCACGTGTGGCCTCAAACTAAAAAAAAAAAAATCCTTGCAGTCTTATTCTGAGTATGTCACCTGCCACCTTTTTCTGGCAGTCTTCTTCCTTTCTATTGTTTTGGTCTAAAAATATCTGTGAAATGACCATGTGGGGACTTTCCTGAAGCTAACAGGTAACTTGTCTAAATTCAGCCAGTCATAGTCTATTTAATCAGCTGTGGTCTTATACTTTGACTGCCCTGTCTGAATTTTGCTATGACAATTATTATTATTGTTGTTGTATTTCCTCTGGGCTGGGATTCATCAATGTTATTCTTGCCCTCACTCCTTGCTGCATATATGATTATTGAGCAGTACTCTGCTGGTGACATGGAAAAGAGAGCACCAAACTCTCTCGGTGGGTTCTTAGTGAGCAAGTAGAGTCTTCTTGCAGTGAGGTCACCTCCTCAAGTCTCAGACACAGGTAGAAGCGAGCACCCCTGTAGTTCACCAATGCTGCCTGCCTCTTGGCAAGGTTACTGAGTCCTTCAGCAAGAACTAATCACTTTGGGCAGATGGGCACTTTGGGGGATATTGGTAGAGGTGCTGATATACATAAACAAATGTTATCCAGCCATGGGATATTTTCCTATTTTTTATTTTCCAAGTTGGATTTGCTTTAGAAGCCAGAAAAACAAAAAACAAAAAACAAAGAAAAAGTGACCCCTGTGGAGGGTGGTATTTATATTTGCATGTGATTTGCATATAGCAGAGTTGCATATATAATGACTGGATAAATTATTCAACTCAGAGGCAATCTAGGCAAGACTGGGTCATATGTTTTTGACTTCTCCTTTCTCCACCATGACCGCTAACATAGTCAACCACATCCCTGGGAGTGGGGAGCCCTGTAAGAAATGGTTAGAAATTCCAGACTGGCTGGCTTTATGGTAGTTTGGGGGATGTCACATAGGCTGCGAAGCACTTCCTGGATCCGGAAGAGTTTCTTCTTTCTTGCTCAGTGTTATTAGTGAGTAGAGTAAGTGAAGTGCCTTAGGTAGAAAACTTAAGGAGAGGCTCACAATCAGAGTTGGACATGCGCAAGGCTGGTCTGAGTACTAACAGAGTTTCTGCAGTTTAATCTGGTCTCAGAATGTCACCCTCCAGGGCACAGCACAGAGAATGGATCTTCAGAGGGAATATAATTTGCTGAATCAAAGATCCATCAAAATTATATAAGAACTGATATAAAAGTAAACCTAAGAAATATGACCTAATTCTAACAGGTGGATTTATTCTTGTAGTTTTTGAAATATTTGCATTTTGTTGTTGTTCTCACATACCTTACAGGGTTGATGCCTCTGATACGTTGGGGCGTAGGGACAGAGTTGCTCCAGTGATGCCTTGGGAGACTTTGGTTCCACTTGAACTCAGGGCTCCAGCAGACAGAGCTTGTGCTCAAGCCCTTTGATCCTTCTCCCCGGCCCTTGGAAGTATTTTAAATGTTATATCTTTCAAAACCAGGCTTTCTCTCTGTGTGTTCAAAGAACCACCTCTTGCTATATCATTGACTACAGTGATCACAGATTTATTTGCATCAGATCGGAGAGCCTGGCAAGCTACCGAGAGTATTTGATATGCCAGACACAGTAACAACAAAGTCTCCAATGGAGACGTTACTGGGCCCGCTCGAGCAAATCGACAATCAACGGGAGGGCCTTTACCTTTACCTTTACCTTTCTATTGCTGGTATACAAACCACCACAAATTTACTGGGTTGGACAACCCCATCCTATGGTGTGACTGTTCTGTTAAGGTCAGAAGTTTATGACAGGCCACATATATCGGCAGGGCTGTGGTTCTTCTGGGGATTTTAGGAAAGAATTTACTTCCTTGCCTTTTGCAATTTCTAGAAGTTGCCTGCTTTTCTTACAGCCAACTCCACAGTGAAACTGTTTTCTTCAACTCCTGGCTTTCTCCTCCTTCTGCTACTTTGTATCATCTTTGTGATTTTTCTGGAACCAACTGGAAGATACGGGATGCTATTCCTGTTTTAACATCTTGGGAAAGCAATGCCAACCTATTCATAGTCCTAGGACTCAGAATGTGGTCATCTTTGGGAACCTTATTCTATGTAAAATGAATACCTGAAAAATGTACCTAGGTTAGTGAAATAGTTTTCTTCGATGAGTCACACATTTTATTATATCTAAGAATTATCTCCAAATACCCCCATCTCCTGCCCCACAAGGTTTTTGTTCATAGATCAGGGGAGGCTGGCAAGTTATAGAATGACAAGATGAGCACTCTTGCTCCAGTCTACAGGCTACCATCTTTTTTCAGCACTTTTGGTCTAGACTGGCCCACGCTCCTTTCGATATAAACAAATGCCTATTGCAGGCAGACTAACTCAGAAGCTGGTGAATGTCCCTTGCTTTCATTTGAAATGAGGGCTGGGGCGCCAGGGTGGAATGGAGGCAAAGAGACCAGTGAGTACAGTCTGCATCCTGTTTGGTTTTCTAAACACCTAACAGGACTCTTCCTCCTCCTCTCCCATCCCAGCTCATGGAAGCAGTTGCTTTTCTTTCTCTTCTGCTTTTATGACTACTTATGATACCAGCAAGTTCCCTATTACATTTGAAAAAAAGAATTCATGATAGGAACTGATCAAATGAAACCTACCCTAGTTTTTCCCTTCCTTAGCTACTTCTGAGCAGACAGCAAGCTGAGCTTTGCATCAAGTCTCTGGTGCATGGGAGGGCAGAAAAACTGGCCAGGAAACAGGCTTAGGTGCCCCCTCCTGGTGGCCCAATTGAGGTCTCAACCCTTCATTGAAAAGTGATGAGATGTTGGGGCTATTTCCTTGGTTAATTAATTAAAGATATAGATGTGTGTGCCCTGACAAGAGTACATGCTTTGGCTAAGATATGAAAACAACCTGAATGCCAAGGCATAGATGAATGAATCAGGAAGTAGTGGTAATAGGCAGTGGAATACTTTGCAGCTCTAAGAAAGAGCAAAATCATTCAATTTGCACAACATGAATGGAATTAGGGGGTATCATATAAAGTCAATCAGAATAGGGATAGATACAGAATCACCTCTCTCATATGTGGGACTTAAAGATACACAGCAAGGTAACAGTGGAGGGCTAAAGGCAACACAATGGCAGAACTGATCCACACGATTGAGTTTGCAGGATGAAGGGGTTGGAAATACAGAGGAATTAGGGTCTTGGGGGGAGAGAGAGATGGGTACACTGGTAATGGGTGTAGTGCTGGAATTATGTATACAGGAAACTATCATTAGCAGTATTGTAAATCACAGAATCTCAATTGAAAATATTTTTTAAACCACTTTTGTGCATTGGGCCTAGTTCTATAACACTGATTACAGTCTGAGATATACCCAGAAGACACAGAATACAGCCAGACCAATAGGAGAGAAGATGCTGTTAGCTCTGGTTCTCTCTTCCGGAAAGGGGCAGGAATGAAAAGAAGGGACCGGACCGCTGACAGGAGTCCCCTTGTGGCAGATGAGATGGATTGCCCCAAACCCTCCCATTCAGGAAGACGTCACACAGCCAGGTGTCTGAGTCTCACCACCTCCACCTCTTTTCTGCTGAGTCAGCAGTTTCTGGAATAGGCCAGTTTGGATGAAAGAGATAAAAGCCTGTACGGAGGAGAAACCGTGGGCACTGCGATGGGGGGAGAGTTCCTTTCATTTGGCAGAAATATTGGCTGTTACTGTGAGAGAGAAGCAGCTGATATTGTTTATAAGAGAGAAATGACCCCTGGTGAAAATGGAGCGTGGTCAAAATAGGAGCTCAGGAAGGATGTCACGCTTGCAATATCCTCTGAGTATTTTGGGTCTGCTGTTTCTTAAATTAGTCTTGTTTTCCTGTTCTTTCGGTCAGACTCCCCTTTATTGTCTACAGACCAGGACATTGTGGATTCCAGCACTTGATACTGGTTTGCTGTGGGGATCGAATTGGCAAGAGGAATGAATAGGAACTTTGCCTGGTCTGAAAAGTATGATGAAGCCAGTGAGGATGTAGCAATTACATGAGCTACCACTAATTCAGGCTGGAGCGATAGGGCATGGCGAGTAGGGCGTTTGCTCTGCATATCATCAACCTGGGTTCGATTCCTCCACCCCTCTCGGAGAGCCCAGCAAGCTACCAAGAGTATCTCGCCCACACAAGCGAAGCCTGGCAAGCTGCCGGTGATGTATTTGATATGCTGAAAAAAAAAAACCAGTAACAACAAATCTCACAATTTGTTGTGAGACATTACTGGTGCCCACTCGAGCAAAATCGATGAATAACAGGAGGACAGTGACAGTGACCTTTAATTCAACACTGACCATGTACCAGCACTGTGCGTTTACTTATTTAAACCCCATGATAGCTCCACAAGGAAGGAATTATTGTCCTTTTTTGTGAATAAAGAGAGATTAAATAAAGAGAGATTAAATAATTAAATAATAATTGTGCCTAAGAATGAGCAGAACTTCCGAATTAAAATGAGGTCTCAGGTAATAAGGTTTTGCTCTTTACTGTCATATATAAATTCTGAGAAAGTGGTTGTTGACAGGTAGTAGAACACAGTCATCAAAAGCACAGCTGTTCTATTG